AAGCTTCCAGCCAATGTTCGGCTTCTTTTAGCTTCCAGCCAATGTTCGGCTTCTTTTAGCTTCCAAGCGTTCTGCTTCTTTTAGCTTCCAGACAGTGTTTGGCTTATTTTAGCTTCCAGCCACCTTTCAGCTTTGTTTAGCTTGAACTCTGTGGTTATGCTTCATTTTCTCTGGTTTGTGTTTAAAATATTTTGTAACTTTAAATAAAAATCAGCTAAAATAATAAACTTTTAGTAGCTTCAGCTGACAGGAACATATTTCTGTGCTCAACAACTTTCCATGCAGAAACTATAAATCTGCTTTTCACTCTTTTATCAAACAGATGGTCTCAAAAATAAAACAAAAGATTTATTTTCTCCAAGCCAACAAAGCAGGGTTCGGCACAGAGTCCGACCTCACCTGTGTCCTGCCGGAACTGGTGCATGGACTGCAGGTCGATGATGTAGGGCGACAGTCTGCTGTCCACCTGGCCGAGGACCACGCTCCCTCCGCGGGGGTCGCTGCTCCGGACGGCCGCCTCGATCTGGTGGGAGACGGCGGGGCTGTAGGGCCGCCACCGCCCGTGTTCGTTCAGCCATTCCCACACCACCACCGCGGAGGCCAGGAGCATGTTGTTCCCGGTGGCCCTGGAGGGGAGATCACAAATAAACCGAAACAGAAACACTGTTATCCGCTGGAGGTGAGGGGGCAGCGGCCGCTGCTGCCGCCGAGGCCAACCGAACCACACATCAGCCTGTTTTACTCGTTTTTATCAAAATCCTCCCGAGTGTCTGAGCTGCTGTCCACCTCGTGATGAATTAATAAAAGGCCGACCGGAGCATGAAGCTAACGGAGCCTTACATGGAGCAGCTAACGCCGGCGCATTCTCCAGCGAGGACCCGAGCTCCTCGCGTGGCCCCGCGGGCGAAGGGAGCCCCGCTCCCCGCTCCGCTGAGCTCCTCGACCGGGGAGGCGGCCTGGCTTTGGTCCGCTCAGTTTTCGGCCTTTTTTTTTTTTTTAATGTATTTTTTGAAGCGGAACCCTCCGCGTTGGCGTCGATCAGTGGATAGTTTGTAGCGGAACAGAACCGAACTGGTCGGGGTGTTCCACCGAACCCGGCTCGGGGCGGAAAGCGGCGTCTTCCAACGGCTCAACTAGCTCCGCGACAACTCCCCAACCCGTCGCCCAAAACAGGTCCGACCGGTCCGGAACCAGCCGGGAACACAACCCCGGAGTCTCTCAACGGAACTGGGCTTTGGTTCTGAACATTTAACCCCCTGAAGAATAAAAGCAAGAACCAGCTGCAGAGAAACTAGTCACCTGTTGTGGGTCTCCTGCGTCCTCCCTTCAGGTCCGAGACTTGTGGAGCAAACTTTAACCAAGTCCTTCATGAAGGACTCAGTCGAGCCATGGCTCCTCTCGCTCCCTATTTATATTAAAAATGAAAAACACAGAGAACTGCTCTCTATTTGGGTTAGAAAGGGAAAAGGGTGCTATCCTTTGGCGTCCATGTTCGCTCCTAAACAACCAACATCCCGCAACCCCCCCAACCTCCCTCCAGGCTCCTTCCCCCCCACCACGCCTAGAAATCCCCCCGAGCTACAAAACACGATACAAAATGACTCCACGCTCAGTTATTTGGACACAGTTTGCACAACTTTCCCTTGATGTAAATCAATCTCTTTAAGAAATAGTCAAATGACCTGTTAATATTTTTATTTATTGATGCGCTTGTCTAATCACTAAAAGGAAACATTGCTGCCCCCTGGTGGGTGAATGAGAAATAGCACACAATGGGATTTTCACCTCGTTGTCGTTTTAGAAGCTTCTAAGTTGTTTTAATTATATTGATATGTGACCAATGGTATATTTTAGTGAAAAATATTTGAACCGTACACCTCACTACTAGTCAAATTTAATGTTATACGGAAATGTTTTAGTGTTTTTAAAGAATAGACGAGACCGTAAACATCACGGCTCCATAGCTCAGGGGTTAGAGCACTGGTCTTGTAAACCAGGGGTCGCGAGTTCAAATCTCGCTGGGGCCTGAAATTATTATTATTATTATTATTATTTTTTTTTGGTTCTATGTGATCGTTACATGATTGTCTGTATGTGTTTGGACTGAGAAATAACGAATATAACTGATAAGAAAGACATATAAATAAACCACTTTGTTCATGACATTCTTCTAAAAAGTAGTTCTTTTAATGCCTGAACATTATTTTTTGGAAGACGGTGACTAAATTTAATTTTCACGATCTTTGAGACAAATACAATTTTGTGTTTGGAAACGAAAAGGAAAGTAACTGAACTTCTAAGACGTAAGTAAAGGTAATTATTGTTTGGTTAACCACGGAGTCTATCATTTTAGCAAGAAATATGACCAAAAGCAGGCAGCTAACTCCGTTAGCTCACTAGCTAGCTAATATGTAACATTAGCTTAAAGTTAGTGTATATCGACATTAAAAAAAATTATCTTGGACTAAATCACAATATGCGAAACAAAGAAAAAAAACTGGTGGTCATGAAGAGAACATGAAGCGTTGTGTATACCTTCTGCTTCAGAGCCCGGATAGCTCAGTCGGTAGAGCATCAGACTTTTAATCTGAGGGTCCAGGGTTCAAGTCCCTGTTCGGGCGAACGATCTTTTGCCATTCCAGTTTTTAACGTTACATCCTTTACGCTTAAGGATTTGAGAAAATAAGACGTAGCCCTAACAACTCTCTGCTTAAATGTTTCCTTTTCTAACCCAAGAGATGTGTGTTTCCATCCGATCAACGAAAGAGCTTTGTTCCGGTACGCGCCGACTTCCGAAACAAGACAGCCAATGAGATGCTACCAATTTGAGCGTGCGTCCAATCAGAATCTAGGATTCGTTCTGGCTGTCTTCATAGACCCGCCTCCGCTGTTCTTGCATTTGTAAAATATTTTGCCCATAAATTTCATACCATGTTACTTTATAAATATATTTTTTTGCCAGTTAGAATGCACATCTAGAGAACAAATCTGAAACTCGTATAAAAAATAAATATATATATTTTTATTATTATAGCACTGTATGTAACACTATATACACTGCAGAATCAGATATTTTAAACATACAATCCTTAAAATTTTAACCCGATATATATATATA